ACTGTTAGTGATTAGGGTTTAGGTCCAAGCCCTTTAGGGTTTAGATTAGGTCTCTTATGTATCTCTATTTATATAAGGGTGAACCTTATTATTTATCAATGAAACATTCTATTATATAACATGATACCAAAGCTCTAGGTTAAAATCATACGGCTGACCACAACCCGCTACCGTTGCCATCCACCTCGACGACATTCTCTGATAGTCGTCAGATGTGCCTTCCTTATGTTCCATATATTTTTTTCTCTTTCTTCTCTTCTTCTCCTAAATAATAAAACAGCCGCCAACACCAAACTAGAGCTCTTAGCTTGGCTTCTTCTACTGCCTCATTTACTTATGTCTCCTCGTCGGATGGCTCCTGCCTCTAAGCTTTCTGTCTTCTCATTAACTTGCCTCTTCTTCAGAAAATATTTCTAAGTCAGTCGGAATATGTTCTGTGTGCCGCAGCTTGAGCCTTCTTTCTTTCTCGTTGCTTTTCTTTGGACTCCTCCCCCAACTCGATGATCGTCGTCACCGCTGCTCGTCTCTTCTTATACAAAGGAACCGCTATTGGCCGCCGCTTCTTTTTTCTCCCTCTCCAACGAGCAGTTATTGTTAGCAGTCATCGTTAGAGATCTGCCACCATCATTGCCGCTCTCTTCATTTATGTTATGTTTTATGTTTTTGTTTTTTCCAGTTTAATCGTCCCTCCTGATGAAACTGCGGAGGGATGTTAGTGATTAGGGTTTAGCCATTAGACTTTAGGTATTCTCTGTATATTCTAATGTAATTATCTTTTGAGAATCAAACAATCTATTATGTTACATTTACTTAGTATTGAAAAGCTTTCTACTTGTTGTGTTGTTGCTTCATGTTGTAGTTCGTTTGTTAGAGATTGTATTCATTTGGAATCACGCAATTAAGATCCAAAACAAATTGTCACCGTAACAATTAAACCGAGGACAATCCCCGTTAAGGAGCAGTGATGGACTCATATGTTAACTTTTTATATACTATTTTTATAAAAGAAAATTTGCCATATTCTTATACGGGGTCGATAGCTAGAGTAGGACCATATGAACTAAGGTATCCACACCAGAACAAAAAGAATTAATAAATGAAATGCATGTCGTTATTTTTAAGTCAATAAACATATAGAGAGTCGATGGGATAACATTTAGATACGAGGGAGCAAACGAGGTAAGGTAGGGGACCATTGCAAAAGCTATTTGGTTGGTGCAACTACCTACTCTTCACATTTAATTACACCAATTCTTGATTTGATATTAGTACTTGATGATACTTTATCTCGTTATCTCTTGTATGTTATAGGAAACACTGCTAATATCCATATCTGTTATATTCATAGATGAAAAAAAAAAGTACATATATTAGGCAAGTATATAAGCATAGAAAATACGAGTATGGACATTGGATAAGACGTAGCTAGCGTTTGTTAATGGCCATGTGTCATGATAACACCAATGAGATTTCTGCTAGAGACTGAAATGACATAGGAATCAGCACAATGATTCGTACCCCAATCGGATGCGATATGGAAAAACCCATCCAGGCCATGAATGCACAAAACGAGGGAGCAAGAGTAACGTCAAACCAAATAAAGTAAACATTTGACCGAGTCCACCTGCCTAACTCCCAACGAGGGGAGAGAGATTCCCAACCTCCATAGAGAGAGTAAGAGAGAGAGAGACCCAGACCCACACTGATATCGGGTATCGAGTGTCATTGGGGTTTGTACGTGACCACGTGAAATCAGTCAGTGAGTGAGCTTTTGTGGTCTCATACTCGATTGTTGTTATTAAATAATGAGAGTACCCTCATGGCTTCTGTTCATGATAAACAAGAGTCCCACATCCCTCACAATGGTCTTTGGATTCTTACGCAACCCGTCCCTCAGTGGGGTGGATGCCTGATTCAAAACCTCATTGGACACTTGAGCACACCCACCCCCACCCCCACCCCATCATCAGTTTAGCTTAAATATATATATATATATCTCTTGCCATATCTTCTTCATTCATTTCCCACCTTCATCATCTCTTGATATGGGAAAGAAAGGAAGTGGTTCGTGGTTCACCGCAGTCAAGAGAGCTTTTAGTCCAAATAAATCCAAGAATCAAGATCAAGATTTCGATCAAGAAGATGAAAGGGTACGTATATATATAACACCGCTTCTACTTTTACACACAACCCATGCACAGGGTCAGGCTTTCTATATATCTTTATGAATGTTGATTATGGTTTTGTTGCAGAAGAGGGAGAAGAGAAGATGGTTGTTTAGAAAATCATCAAATGCTGTACAAATACCGAGTCAAGTGAGAGATAATGTATCAAGTAACGATGTTCCACAACCTAAACATGCTGTTCCTGACCTCGCTGCAGAGGAGGAAAAGCGTGCCATTTTAATGGCGGCAGCCACCATTAAAGCGGCTGAAGCTGCTGCCACCACCGCCCATGCAGCTGCGGAGATTATTCGTCTCACCACCAGACCTTCTCCCATTTCTGTTAAGCACCATTTCGCTGCCATTCTCATTCAGACATCTTTCCGTGGCTACCTGGTAATCCTTTCCTCCTTTTACATAGTATACAGATGTTTCTACTCGGTTTGAAATGGTCTACTGGGTTTATGTTTCTGTCTCGGTAAACAAATTTGCGTATAAGTCATCTAATTTATGAAAACAAAACCATATAATCTACGCTAAGTAGCTGGTTATATTGGATTTAATTAGAGCATAAAAAGCAAAACAAAAATTAAAATGAAGTCCTTGGTTCCTGGATGTAATGGTTTCTGGATACATATTACTTAATTTCTGGTAGTTGACAGGGTACGTGGTGCAGAAACTCACGTGCCAGTGCACAAGTTATCGTTAAGATTAAGAAGATCTCATTTTACTATAAGATAAACAGATAATACTGATTGCAAACTCACAAGTATTCATTAAACAATATTATCATAGTAACATGGAATTTAAGCCATATATCACAACCATGTGAGTAGGGCACGATGGCAGAGGCAACAGTCTTGTAACGTTAACTACTTCACATATATATAAATATTCTTTTAAAGTTTCAAGAAATATATTTATATTAATTCTTTTGTCTTTTGTTGTTTCTTTCACATGAGAGAGATGTACGATGAATTAAAGAAATCACGACAAACACCGAGCTATGAAATTTCATATTCGTATGTCACGTGACAAACATAACTTGTGATGGGTCCATCATATTTATGATTAATTCTAATTTTGAATGTGCTTTTACTGTGGTTGAAGGCAAGAAGAGCACTACGAGCACTGAAGGGGATAGTGATGCTTCAAGCAGTGATTCGAGGTCAGAATGTAAGGAAGCAAGCAACCATCACTTTAAGATGCATGCAAGCACTTTTACGAGTACAATCACGACTACATGATCAACGATCCAGACTCTCACATGACGGAGGTAGAAAGTCAGTGATCGCAGAAACACCAACTTTCTTGGAATCCAAATACCTTCAAGATATACGACAAAGAAAGTCCATGGTAAGTATATCATACCTTTCTTTATATATATATTGCCTTTACGTATTTAATTTCTTTAAGTCCTTTAACGATTTTACACAACAGTCCAGAGACGGAAGTTGCATTCCAGATGATTGGAGTGAAAGACCACACTCTCTTGAAGAGCTCGATGCCATATTACAGAGCAGAAAGGAACGTGAAGCGTCTCTTGCTACAGCTTTCTCCCAACAGGTACACTTAATTATAGCTCGATCGATATCGTAATTATATTTCATGGCTAACGAAAAGCCATATCAAGATGCAGAAACTCAACAGAAACCCATCTACCATGGATGAAAAGGAGCTTGAAGAAAGCGCTAGTTGGTTAGATCGGTGGATTGAAGCGAAGCAATGGGAAAACCAGAGAACCAGCAGAGCTTCTTTAGACAGAAGGGACTCGATAAAAACAGTTGAAATCGATACTTCAAGACCCAATTCTCGCTCAGGTACAAGCGCTTACAAATTACAACAATACCATGCGTCACATTACATCCCCAACTCACCGAGTCGAAGATCAAGCTACAGCCCTTCAACAGGTCAACAACAACAACAACAACCCATCACACCATCTCCAATCAAGACAAAACCAATTCAGATCCGGTCAGCAAGTCCGCATTGTTCAAAAGAGGAGAGAAGTTACTTGAATGCAAACATACATAGCCTACGCTCAACCCCACGTGTCAGTGGGTCCATGTATAGGTATAGCACGTGTGTAAACGACATGGCAATGCCTAACTACATGGCTGCTACAGAGTCTGCGAAAGCAAAGATAAGGTCACAAAGCACACCTAGACAGAGACCCGCAACACCAGAGAGAGAACGAGTGGGGTCTGCTAAGAAAAGACTAGCGTACCCCATCCCTGATCCATGTGATAATGGTAGTGAGGGGTACAAAGGTCATTATTACTCTGATCATAATTATGGTCATAACTTGAGGAGTCCAAGCTTCAAGAGTGTCCAAGTGGGTCATGTTGGTATGGGGCAGCAATGGAATTATGCAGACAGCACTACTGGTGGAGAACTTTCACCTTGTTCTACTACTGATTTAAGAAGGTGGCTTAGGTGAGTTAATTAATTAGTGGCATGTCGACATAATAACATAGAGAAGAAGTAGCATCAAGTTTAGGTGATGTTTGATGAACCCAAACAAAAGAAATTAGGGTTCCACTTGTTTCCATTTTCATATATCCTGTAGTATTATTAATTGTTTTCTCATCATTGTTTCCAACTATTGTAATATTTTATTGAACATGGGCATGCTAAACATGAGCCAAGTGCAATGTATAATCAAGGGGTGGTATCTTTTTAGAAGCATTCTCAAACGTTTGAGTCTCAAAAGTTTGAACACTTATACCAACCACCTAGTGGGCCATTATAGTGAGAAATATTCCAAAAGATCGCAAACAAAGAATCTTGCATAAAAACTAAAGACGAAAATCAACAATAAAATTTTCGTTCATTCTACATGATTCATAAAGATGAACTATGGTCTATGGCAAATAAAATTGTTAAATAAAATGAAACCCAAGTAGTCTAAGAAATTTTCAACTACAAAACACAAGATGGACCCCACTGATCATCATAGCTTTCCATGGTTTTTCAGGTTCACCTAATGAAGCTAAGCTCATGGCCATGTGTGTCACCATTATCGCACAAGCTGCTTGTGTTTGTACTACTACTACTACTATGGCCATGAAAAGATGGCCCACTCAAAGGCCCATTCACAGTACTACTAGCAATACCCAGGCCCAATGCTTCACCCAATGGTCCACCAGGTGTTGAACGTGAACCCATCCAAGAACTCTGGTTCAACAACCACTGGTTATGCGATTTCCCTTCTCTTTCCACATCCAACATTCCAATTTCAAAATTGTGATCATCATCATCAATCCCACCACTACATTGCATCGACAAACTAAGAGAACAGTTGTCGCCTCCTCCAGTACTTCTTGACCAAGCATCTATGAAATTCTGCCTCCTAACACCTGCAGTACTAGTCGTATCCAAAAGATTACTGTAGTTGTTGTGGGATTCATGTTCTTGAGGGAAATTATGGTTCCTTTTCGATCCTACTCGGGGTGAGTGATTCAACGATTCCTGAAATTGTTGGTTCGATGAAGATACAGATACAGGGATTCCCCAACTTCACGTATTCATGCAATGTTTACATAAGAAAACCATCAAATACCCATAAAATTAAAACACAAACAAATTGATATGTAGTTAGTAACAACGATAGAAAAACTCACCTGGGATGTTGATATGAAGAAGTGGTAAGAGCATTTGTATACGAATTAGGAGTAATGTTGAGGGCGTTTGTTGTAATGTTAGTGTTGTGGGGTTGAATTTCCACAGGCTTTCTTGAACGGGGTCTGCTTTTGTGGGCATGACGCTCGCAGTATTTCTGGTCAGGTGCTACATCCCTGGAACATCTCCATTTCTTTCCATCGGTTCTTCTACACCTCCATGGCTCCGGATCCGACCCGCTTGAGAATCTCATGTCCATGCCCCCCTCTACGATGCCCAATTTTACCAAAATCAAATTACTCATCTCAACTTTTTGACAGATTAAAAAAAAATCAATGGAAAAGGAAAAGGTGCCTCCTTTTTTCCAAGTTTCAAACAAATAAACAAAATAGTTTGATGGAAAAAGGGGGGAAGTGAATATCGGATTAAAATAAAGAAAAGAAAGTACTGTTGGATTGAGTGGAATAAGGTATTAAGAGCTGAGGGGGAACAGGGATAGAAGCCATAATGTACTTATAGATCATCGTCTGCTTCTCAAGCTCTTGCCACTGAGTCGCAGTGAAAAGTACTTTCCCTGAAACTTCCGTTGCTCCACCACTGTCTGATCCTGTATTCCACATTACAGAAAAAGGTCTTCTCTTTACACTCAACATGATAAACAATTGAAAATCCGACACGAAGAAAAAGTATGAAATTTTGATAATTGACACTTATAGCTTCTTACCGAAGACTACGCCACCACCAATTTCAGTCGAAGCGTGATGATTTTGAAGCTGGTTGTGGTGATAATATGAAGAAGGAGGCATGAAATTGGTGATCTTGTTACGAAGGTTAAAAGATGATACAGCGTGCTGCATGTTCATACCCACTGCAATATCAGACTCCAAGAACGCCGAAGGTGCAGGTGCAGGTGCTTCCCCTGAGTCATCGTCTCCGCCTCCGATATTAAAACCCCTACTACTGCTTCTGTCTCCATTCCCCATTTTTCAAGAAAATACAAAACCTAGATTTCTATCTTTACCCTAGAAACTTAAAAAGGGTTGGGGTTTTGATGGTTTCCATGATTCCTACATTGACCCCCATTAAAAAAAAAAAAAAAAAAAAAAACAGGGACAAACGATTGAAACAAAAAGCTACAAACTTGGTCCCCCTGTTTCTCTTTCTCTCTCTATCTTGATGTTTTTTTCCCTTTCCTCTCTCTTACTAAGACTAGGGGATAAAAGTTCAGATTATTTGAAAAAGGTGATTCAAAATTCTTTTATTAGGGGTATGCTCAAATTAATGATAACGAAAGAAAACAAAAAAAAAAAAAAGAGTTGACACTTGACAGCATCCGCCATTCAGTCACCCGGTTCCTGATCACATCCGAAATCCAATTGGTGATATAATGAATGAACAGTCAACGCAAGGAGTCATAAATTAGGGTCTATGATTCTCCTAGCTATGTGATTCAGAGCTAGGTTTGACTTATGTTTTGCATGGAAGAAAAAGGTGAGAGAGATACTGATTCAGATACAATGGGGAGCCTCGGTCGCCTGTGAGTTTAAGGGAGTGACAGAAGCTGTCTGTTTAGAGGAAAGTGTTTTTGACAGGAGGAGGGTTAATAGCGTGGCTGTTTCCGTCGAGATACGTCGCAATCGGCTGAGCTATTTGCCATTTTTGGGCGTCGGGAAGGAGGTCCACTGGGTTTTCGTGTGCGCGGGTATGGGGACCCCAACCAAAGCATATTGTCAGTCATCCATTTACTATTTTACTATTTACTATTTACGCCTCCTTTTCTACCGTTTTCAAACTTCAACATACCCTTTTCTGTGCATTGGCACATGTACTCTACATATCCTTTCCTGGCTTTTGGTATTTTGCTGCCTTGTTATGTACAAAAAAAAAATACTTTACAAATTACAATGTGTCACAAAGTAAATGCTTATTTATACACATTTAATGAATTACCATATATTTTTAATATACAACATCACATTTCTTTTTTGCAGAAAAGGATATGGTTGCAAAATGCTTTATATTCACCTGAACAAAAAGTTATATTTATAAAGATCTATGAATCCCAATTCGTTGACAAATACTTTATATTCATTTTGACAATTGTAAAATTCTCCTTTTGTTTTGTGAAATAGCTACATTTTGCCGACAAAAACAAATGGAGTTTCAAAGCGACATCGAAAAATGTAAGAATTTTATTACATATAATGGTTGTATCGTAAACGAAAACATATTATGCCTAAGAGTATACCAGTTATGAAAGACATCTGTAGCCATATTTACATCTTACCACAATCATGCACACTACCTCGAAGGTGGCGTTGTTTTACCTGACAAAACTAGTGTTGGCTGTTGTGGTTTACACCACGAGACGCCATGCCTCTTCTCTTTCTTTTGTTGATTTTTCTTTCATCTTCTTTTTCTTCATGGGTACGTTGCAGGTATACCGATGACCACAGTGATGGTGCCAGTTGTTGACTTGGAAGCTCTCCACAATCTTTGGCATTGAGAATATACCATTCAACCTTAAAAAAGTCAAAATGAATTTTTAAAATCACAAACCATGGATTAATTATGGCAAACTAGACTCTTGCAAACAATTATCATTTCCAAAAGCTTGTCGAGTGAAATCATGTATTAATGATATACTATGTTGGGTATATTAGGATAAACTAGTTTATAACCTATGGAAAATATAATTACAAAATTAATTTAATTTTCATAATAAAAACTTAAAATTATTAATTAACTATTTTAAATAAATTATTAATTAAAAAATATTTTTTTAATTATATAAAATTATAATCGTTGAATCAAATAAATATGTGAAATTATATCATCTTATAATGTTTATTAATTTTATTTTATTTTTTATTTAATGTTATTAATTTAATATAACTAAAATAGAAAATTTAAGATTTTAAATTTAAAATTAAAAAATCAATACGTTAACAAAAAACATAACATTAATTAGGAAGAGTAATAAAGTAATATACATCAAACGAACTACTTTTTTATTATAATAGGAAGATAATATAAATAAATATATTAACAATTCTACAAAATACTTAGAAATATAGTTATTGCTTTAGAGAAATCAGATATCTTCATTGTTCGTACCCATTTTCTTAATTATGTAAATGATTTTACATGCCATTATTTCATATGAATAGAAAGATTGGTATAAACAAAAATAAATGATATTTAATTTCTCATTTAAAGGATATTTAAGATTTCATTTTGAAAATTTTAATAACTTTTAAACAAAATGACTTATTAATTTATGGTGGTATGAAAATGAGATTTTTTTAAAAATATTTAAATTAGCTTTTGTGATGAAAAAAGTTAACAAGTCCATGAGTTTTAATGTTTGTCTACATTTATACATCTTTTAAGTAGTATTTTATTTTTTACAACCCAAATCCAAGGAGTTTTAAAAAATTAGAAATCCTAACTTATTGTAACCTTCTTTTAAAATGTTTATAAAAAATTATTTTGTAATGTTTTTTAACATTGTCAACCATTTTTTTTAATTTATTGACTTTTAAAAAAATCAATAAGTTGTTTTTACCTCTAAAATATATTATACTATATATAAAATATTTGGTTTTTATTTAACTATAAATTTGTTTTATGCCTTACCGAAATACAATATAACATCTTAAAGTAAGAGATCTTTAAATAATGCATGTCACATGTATACGATAATGTGTAGTCACCTTGGTTGTATATTTATATAATTTCAAGTGCTTCCTCATATTTTATCACTCCATAAACATAAAAACAAAATAGCATAATTACATCGAGGTACCCGACCAGCTTGCAATTATGGTGAGATATATGTTGTGTACATTGTGTGGTGTGCTAGTGAAATAAAAAGTTGGTAAATATGGTGAATGTAGTCATTGATATAGGGCGTGTTCGGCACGGAACGTTTGAAAGCGTTTGAGAGTTTCTAGCGTTTTACAAAACGTTCTGTTTTGAATAGAAAATCTCGTTTAGCACTACACGTTTTCAGCGTTTAGTTTAAACAAAACGTTTCAAATCTAAATACTACTTCATGTAGCGTTTAACTAAACGTCATAAGCTACTCGCTATCAGCTAATTTTGCCGAACGCAGCCATAGATGTTATACCCACTATACAAGTAGGCTTGTTGTTTGGTTCAATTTTTTGTTTTCGGTTAAATCAGTTTAACTTATCAATTTTTCAACCAACTAAACAAAATAAAGAAAATACACTAATATATAACATAATATACTCGATCTTTTATTATATGTTGTCTTGAAGAGTTGATGTACACACACAAGCTAGGAGATAGGAGATAGGTTAATATACTAAGATGAGAGAAATAAATGAAGGTTAACTAACATTTGGTTAAATTGATTTTAGTTTTTAATACAAAATATAAAACAATTATAAATTTATAATTGTTAATAACTAAGAGCATCTCCAATGATAAAAATATATGATAGGTCAAAAAAATTACAACCTCACTATTTAATTATATTGACCTCTAATAAATTTGTTTCTCTAATGGTTAAATTTTTTATGAACTTTTTCATTAATTTAACTACTTTATTTTTATCTATCTAAAATGCTATATAATATCCTCTCGTTTAACTAATTCTTACTTAAATACATCGTATTTTAATATAAACATTCATTCACGTATAAACGATCCACATATTACTACATTAAATATTTATATATTATATATTTTTTTCTATAAACTGTAGATAAATAATAAATACTTAAAATTAGATCAAGAGGATAAAATGTAATATTATTAAAGAGAAAATGTTAGAATGTTTAAAGTATTAAACTATATTGATCATTTAATATATATTGAATAGTCAATAAAAGTGAGGAAAAAAAATTATATACTTCAATGGTGTTAAACTGTTTCTACCACTCAACCAAATCTTATTAAGCTATAAAAAACCTCTATAGATGCTCTAAATAATAAGTTATGAAAATCTTATTAACTAATCTATAAAGTTAAATATAAAATGTTAATTCATATATATATATATATATATATATATATATATATATATATATATATATATATATATATATATTAAATAGTTTATTGGGTTTTGTCGGTTTAACCAAAACAATTAAAATTTAACCAAAACCAAACCAAATAAGATATCTTTATTCGGTTAACCAAACCAAATAAACCAAACATCGTTTAGTTTGGTTTGCTTATTCAATTTTGGTTTTTTACCACACCCCAATATACAGGTAATGATGTCACTCGAACCTTATTTAATCAATTCATTAAAAATATTCATGGCATGCATTATGATGCTTTAGCACACTTTCCGCGACAGTCTAGTGGGGGAGATTTGTAATGCCTGTTCCAGGTATCATTTAATTCTCTAAGTTTTTTTAGGGTTTTTTTGCTAGGGCTCGACAAGTTGGGGAGATCCAACTCATAAAGTAGAGATCATTTATGAGGACGGGCATTTCGATCCTACTCGACAAGTCGGAAGGCCCCAACTTGACGAGTAGGCGTTGTAAAGGAAAACCCTAATGTCCAGGGGTTTGTACCCTATTTAAAGAATGTATGGCTCATTTGTAGCCTCTTTCATCGTTCTTATAGTCCAGATAGAACCCCTAGCCGCATTTGATGCACTCGACGAGTTGAGGTCAACAAGGATTGTTGACCTTGACTGATGACCTTGAATTTGACCAGGGTTCACTTTGAGAGTATTTATAGTATTTCGGGATTGTAACAAGTTAATCACGTGATGATTATAGGCAGTTGAGTTGGAGTTGTACGTAGGGACTTATCTAATCTTATCTTGTCAGTTCAACATTTACGAGACATGAGTCTCCTCACCATACCAATAGGTCGAAGGTACCAAGGCCGACCCATTTTATGATATGTGGTAAACTAGTTGAAGTTATATTATGAGGCATGATAGTTGGTTATGTACTAGGAAGTATGCTAGTTATATATGTGGTATGCTTGTATGGAAGACCATGGGAGAGCCCATGGAACTTGAATGTAAGACCATGTGGAGAGCCCCCAGTTTTCCTACTAAAGACCGTTAGAGAGCCCATGACACCCG